ATTGATCTTTATTTTTTAATCGAATAACTTTAAGCACATTAGCATAACTGTTTCTTAATTCATTTTCAAAATCAGTAAAATCAATTTTATAACTAACATTTGTAATAATTACCGCCAGTTGTGGTGGAATTGATGGTTGTTTATCAATGGTAAATGTTTCATTAAATAATCGATCAGGCCATTTGATGTCCGAATAAAGAAAAAAAAAGATGAACTATTTTTAACAAAAATCAAGAGATTACATTCATTAGAATTACATCTAATTGACGACGTTCTAAATCCAACTAAATCGAGATCGAAAGAAAAATTTATTTTACTGTAATTTAATAATTCTTCAATAGCTGCTTTATCATTAATTTTTCCAGCATTGAATTTAAGAATAAAAGGAGGAAATGGATAACGAGATGTTGCAAAACGTTGTGCTTCATTTGTAATTGCAGATGTACTAGAATGTGTATTTGAATTTGTATTTGAATTTGAATTTGTATTTTTATTTGTATTTGTATTTGTATTTGATTGAATATAATAATCATGTGAACGTGATTGATAACAAGCTGGTGAATCATCATAAATTTCCATTGGTGCATCATTACCACTTTGTTTTCTTTTCTTATTTGATCGTTCTGTTGTATCAGTATGTATTGCATAAGAATGTCCTTGTGAATCAGGTGAATCATACGTATCAACTTTTCCGATTCTACTATGTGTTAATCGAGGTGAACTAGTTTGTTTTTGTTTGATATAATGAGGAGTTGGTGGATTTCGATCACAATTTCTTATTTGTTGATGATGATGAACATGATGATAACTGTTGTCCGTATACTTGGTGTTAACGAAAATTGATGAACTTGATGAACTTTTAACTTGACGCTGTTGCAGCTGTGGAGCTTCAGGAGAATTGTATAAGTGTGAGGGAGAGCCTGAATTTGTTGGCATAGTGGTTAGACCACCACCCTGGCCAGTTAACACTGTGCCGAGAATCGATTAAGTTAATTAAGAATAGAAGAATATCCAAATACCGGGATGAAGAGGGAGGGAAGAAAAAAAAAAGACGTATATACTGTTGTATATGTACGTGCTTGTATAGAAAGGAGAATATAAATGCGACCGTCACCGATAGTGAAAAAAGATGGAATGAATATAAATTTATTTTATTGCATGTTGATAGAATTATCTATATATAAATTAAAAATAAAATTTGAAAGTAATAAACAAAATGAAACTTTTGTTTTTGATAAATTGCAATTTTTATTTATGGTTTCGAGAGAAAGACAATTTTACCATTGTTTTCTTTTGTTTTGTAAGAATTGAGCAGTGTGGCGAAATGCACTTATTGTTAGTAATTCGAATATCGCGTTCATTTGTATACATTACGCACAGCTACTAGTGTGTGTATGCGATCTGTTAAAATATGGTTTTTTAACAATTTTGAGACATTTAAAAATGTTAGAAATTGTGAGTTTTCATGCGTTTGACTCAACATTGCGACACAATGGTTGCATATCACTAGCATTAAAATGATTTTTTAGAACGCCTTGCACGCTTTAACAAATGTCCGAATTTTTTCGTTTTAATGCAGTGATTTTATAAATACGTTTAAATATTTCTCTTCCCACTCGTTCTAACCACGTGAAAGTCCAAATTATATCAACTGTTGAAACGCAAAAATTCGAACATTTGTCGAAGTGTACAAGGCGTGGAAAGCAAAACTGAAAGTGGCTGTTTTTACGTGTTAATTTTTGTTGTTTTTGACTGCTTGGGTTAGAAAAAAAGAATGAATTTTACGTAAAATGAGTTCTATATCAATTAATAAATTATCATGTGTATCAATGGGGAAACAGCTGATTCTATGATTCCGAGATTCCGTTAATTTCATATGAAGTGTACCACAGAGAGATATAAAATCCAATTAGGGTGAAAAAAATTCTTCTTGGCGACTTTCCTTTAAACAAATGAAGATAGTAAAATATAACATTCTGTAGATAAAATTGCACTTTAAAAGTATATTTAGACACACAAATATAAACGATTTGTTCACTGTTTCTCAACCTTATCTTTCCAGTTCAGTGAACACATGATTTTTTTTTCTTTTAAAGTTAAGCGAAAGTATGATAAGAGTAAAAGCAAACACAAAGTGTACCACTCTTACACGTGAAAGATACAAACATATTCTTTGCTCAAAATATGGCCTGTCGCTATCAAACGTATTTTTTTTTTTATCACAGAACAAGCAAAACAATCTGTAAACTGGAGACGAATATAGAGTATAAATAGGTAAAAGCATATTATAAAGCCAATAACGTCTTTTTTAATATTATTTTTATTATTGCAAGACATCGTTTTGTTCCACTATCTGTGTTATAATTTCAGTCAGTAAAAAAGATAGGACACTGCATGATGTTTCTACTTATCGTCATACTCTTTGCATTTCTTGTGCTCTTGACTTATTATCTCTTTCAACTCCAACAACGTTATCAATACTTTAGTCAGCGTGGTATTCCTACACCACCCTTCCAATTTTTCTTTGTTCACCTCAAGACATTGTGGAATGTCGCGTCCTACCATCGTCAACTTGAAAGCTGGACAAAGCAGTACGGCAAGATTTATGGAATCTATGAAGGAAGTAATCCAGTGTTCGTAGTCAGTGATCCCGATTTTATACAAGAAGTCTTTGTCAAACAATTTTCCGTCTTTCATGCACGAAAAGTCACTATATTGGATAACATATTTCATAATCTTGCTTTCATTTCTGGTGCAACATGGCGTCGTCAACGTCACGTGCTTAATCCATCGTTTGCTGCTACAAAATTGAAATCAATGAGTCCTCTTATCAATGGATGTGTCTCTGATTTGATGAAAAAATTTCCGGATCATGTAGAAAACGGCGACGATTTCAACATCTATCTGTATTATAAACGTTTGTCGATGGATGTTATTTGTAAGTGCATGTAGCTGCATCTTTTTTCGCAAGATATTGAATAAGAATAGTTGATCCTATTTTCTGTATCGAACGTATATTAAAGCATACGATGACACATAATTTCAATGCAGAAAAAAAGCTTCAGTACTTTGTAAGATGCAAAAAATCTCGTAAAGTACTTTGTCTTTGACCTTTTAGGTCGTTGTGCATTTGGAATGGATACTGATGTGCAAAGTAATCCGAACAATATCTATTTTAAAAAAGTGCAGGAAATCTTTCGAAGCATGACTTTCAGAGAGCATTTCTTAGCCAAAATTGCTGAAGTTGTGCCTGCGTTTGGCATTGTTCTTGGTTGGCTCTTTGCTGTCCAAAGTACCGCGCGAACATTTATTAATACACGGCTTCTGCCTTTGATATCATCAACCATACAGTTGGAGGAATTACCGTACATGTGGCTCCTCAATCGAGTGCACGATATTGTCGAGCATTGTCAAAAGACGCCTATCTCACGAGTCGATCTCCTGCAGCTGATGCTACCAGTGACTACCGAAGAGACAATTATTGTAAGTAGGATCTTTCGAATGCTTAAGTTATTTCTCTTAATGACCACTCACTCTCTACTGACCAACAGTTTTTTAACTGAAATTTTTTACTCGAAACTTACGAAAAATAGAACGTTCATTTTGTTTGTCGTTTTCATATCCGCTGATGAACTGATTCTCTGGTGCAAATAACCTTTTTTCTGTGATTTCAATAGAACAAGAGCAGAATGCACTGTTTTATATCAATGATGAAAAGAGCATAGGAAGGGCTGCAAAAGACATATTCGATCTTATTTTCTCTTATTGATACCAACAGTGTCCGAGTTGTGTGTGCCAAAATCTCATGCTACCTTAAAACATTCCAATGTCGATGATGATGAGAAGAATAGTTTTAACAAGAGAAATCTTTAGCTAAATAAATATAAGCTATCATTGGTTGTGGTAATTCATCATTGACACATGTCGTTTAATCTTTCGAAATTTCTTGAATTGTCAGCATCTGGTCATACTTGTCAGAATAATTACAAAGTAAAAATGATCGACAACACTCAAGCTGGTCCTATTGATTTTACGAATTATGAGGTTCATTGCAGTTTCTACTACTATGTAGAATAAGAAACTCACGTAACCTATGAAACTTATAACGAATTTTCCCATTTTTTTGACCTTTTAAAATATGTAATTTATTTTGAAAATATCTATACACTGTTTTCAGCCGATAAAATGATACTTGCTATACATGAAAAAGATTCATAGTTTCCATGTATTTCATACATCTCTATCACATTCTCACGAAATTCTCGCAATACTAGCAAGTTGTTTGTGCAGACAGAGGGGCTGGACGTTACCGTCAGGCAGTCATAGATATACTCTCTTCGTAGGATACAACAGATGACAACAAAGTGAACTATCGGTTAACCGTGGATGAAGTTGAGAGTAATATCGTTAACTTCATGGTAGCAGGATCTGAAACAACATCAAATGCTTTGGCATTTGCTACGTACGAACTGGCTAGACACCCGGACGTCCTTCAGAAACTCCAGGCTGAAATCGATCAACTTCCGTTATCAGCTGGTGACAACGACGATGATGAGATGAAGTAATATCCAGACTTCGACACCGTCGCACAATTGTCCTATATGGATCTGTTCGTTTCTGAAGTCTTGAGGATGTACCCTATTGCGAATTTCTTCTCTCAAAGACGAGCCACCGAAGATACGATTGTACAAGAAATCAAGATTGATAAAGGTAATGATATATTTTAATGTTCAAAACAGGCTTTACTCTTTATAAATCATGAATGAACTAATGAATATTGTACTATTCAGATTGTCTGTAGATTTCATGCAATAATTTTGTATAACTTTATGGGAAAAACTACTTCTCACAACCATTCACATCCATCCAACTAATGCACCCCTCATCCCTTCTTCGCTTACAAATTTATTCAAAAGAAAATCTTGTCGGAATGACAAGTCGTTTTCATACGTATGCTGCAGAAGTGATTGATATTACAATGATCTTTCTGATACAATATTTGAGAAAAAGACACTCGAACATTTCTTCTGTCAGATGGTGAAAATCGTAGCTCTCCAGTTCTTGTCTCCCATGAGTTATTCCAACAGTACTTACGACAATTTTAATATTGGACAGACAGTAGTTGGTGGAGCAGTTAAGAATAAAGTAACGAACTAAACAGAAACAAGCTGCGATGAAACATATTCGCAATACATATTCTTTTTTTTCTATGAATTTTATTTGTATAAATACATATAACAACTTGAGATGAAATTATTAGACATTTTTTAACTAGTTTTATAGACGCACGTAACCTTTGAGAGAAATTGTTTTTTTTCACGCAAAATCAAGCCATCGACCACAGCAACCGTCCATTATGGTGAAGATACCAGATATAATACATAGATTTGCCAGTTATTAATGGATTTGATTCTATGCTATTTTATCAATTTTCACATGAATGTTCAGTGGATCATGTAAAAAAGCATCATTTCAGAGTTCTAGTTGAACCGCAATGTTATGTAGTTGATAGTGTTACATATATAAATATATAGGCTTCGGCTGAATACGTAGAATTTTGATTAGTTCATCGGTAAATCTAGCGGATCGAATTCTCCATTGCACAGAGATTCTAAGTGTCATATAAAAATGTACTCTGCAGATACATGATCCCCGTCAAGACATGTCAACCCATACCGACAAAAACTTATCTAGGAAAATTTTCCCTCTTTCCAAATGCAGTGAAGATCATGTCTACAATTCTCTATGTATGAATAACTTCGATCTCGCATTCCATTGTTTTTTCTTCCAGTAGTTCTTTAATCTATTCATTGTCATAATATAAAATCGAACAGTGATAGACAGGTAGCAATATTTCTGAGTCAATCAATGCACAAAATTATTCAGAAAATTAAATAGTTTTCATCTTTATTAAGGTACTGTCGTGTATCCCGATGTTTATTCGGTCCATTTCGATGGTGAATTGTGGGGTCCAGATGATCCATACCTCTTTGTACCCGAACGTCATCAGACAAAACGTCACCCAATGGCTTACTTACCGTTCGGAGCAGGTCCACGACAATGCATTGGCATGCGCTTCGCATTGGCCGAAATGAAGATTTTCTTCGTAAGACTGCTTCGTGACTATACAATTCTACCTGGTGAACATCTCGAAAGTAAATTCAACGTTGTTGACAAAACAACTGTCGCACCGGAAGAAATCTGGGTCAAATTAGTGAAAAGAAGTGATTAACTGATTGTGTTGTAATCTTACTAATCTACTTGAAATAAAAAGAAACTCTATTTTCACCAAAGGAGAAAAAGCGAATTTCGAATTTTGCAGATTCTAAAATCTAAAAAAAGATTTTTTGGATTTTTTGAAATTTTTCAAGATTTTTTTCGAACTTTTAAACTTCTTCTTTCCTGTCTATCATTCAAATACCATACCTGCCAATGTGAAACGAAGTTGTATCATCCCAAGATATATTGATTTAATTAAATCAATCTTCCTCTCTCATTCATAGTGGTGACATTCTGAAAGACTTTTGGATTAGTCCTATCCTGAAAGTATATGTAAAAAGAGATCCAAAACTGCCCAAAGTCTTCTGTTTCTTTTTGTGTTCGTTCATATTAGAAGTTTTATCAGCATTAATTTCAAGAAAGATTAAGAATTATATGTCCTGAAAAATAATTAATCACATTCTCATTTCATGCATACATTTTATTTTGATTGCGTCACACGTTTCAAACGATGAGAAGAAAGAGAAAAGGGTGTGGATGTGGGTGTGGGTGTGGGGTGGATGAGTGTGAACGGGATTGAGTTTCAGTCTTCTTTTGGTCGAGAAACATACTTAGCCACACTCTCATGTTGTTGAAAATGTTGATTTGAAATCATATCGAGTATAATCAATAAGCTTCAATAAGGTGAGAGAAAAAAAAGCCATTGGATTTTTTATTGTTGTTTTCAAACTTTGAATGATGACTGCAAGAAGATCATCTCTTTGTAGAATATCTGTCAAAATGATTGATTTCAGGCCATATTTGAATAAAAATAAATACATAAATAAATATGATTTCTTTTTCTCTCTCGTTTTATTTAATATTTTACTAGAGATAAATAGAACATGCAAGAATTCATTTATAAAGATAACTTCACAAACAACCAATAAGCTTAAGGTGAATAAAAAGAGCGAATATGTCACGTTTTCAAATAGTATACATGAACATGACACTTGGCATCATGTAGAGACACTACTATTCGCTAGCATCACACAGAAGACAACCGTATGTGGTGCTTTCTTTTGAGCCGAGTTGATTATCACAATTTTCGGGGTATGAAACAAACCATCCAAATGCAGAGTGTATTTAGTCATTGTCAGCAATTGTCGTTTGACAGCGGCAGAACACAATTATATTGTTGAGTAGATACAACAGGACTGGCTAATAGCAACAGAGTGAAACAGAGCAGAATGGTCACAATTCATGACTAACAATATTTATGGATACAAAAATCATCTGATGATGGCTTCTCTTAAGCATTCAAGCGTATTACGTACATTGTTTTTCTCAGCGAAGTGTAAAATAGCGTGTATCTCAGAAACAGCAGATGTTCGCTACATTTTACTTCTATTTGATACATCTGCTATTGTAAACAATGAGATGGACAAGATGAAAGAAAATCAAGAAATGAATATCCACGAAAAAGAAGTTTATATGAAAGAACGGTTAGAAACACGTTTAGTAACAACGTAATGAGCTCAGAAACATTCCTGTTTCCCCAGAACACGTACTTTGGCAACATGTTTCTAATTGAAAAAAAATGTTTTTTTTTGAAATTTATTCTAAGCCTATCAGAATCCATCTTTCTATGAAAGGAACATTAAAAGCATTATCAGGACACGTTTTGACATCTGAAAAACGTGATTTAAAAAGAATACTCTATTACATGTTCTCCCGTATAATCATTTTTCGTGATAGGCAAAATAAAGGTCTTTGTCATAAAGCCGGACTGTGATAACCAGTGAACCTCAATGTGTATGATTTGAAGACAATTTATTGTAAGAATCAAAAGAATTTAGACTACATATGTCCAATGATAAGACTCAGGAGATTTTCATATTATTTTACAGAATCAAGAAATATTGATATGTGTTTAAAATCGGTTGTTTGCTTGTTATAGCTAGATCTTACACTATCCTCATAAAATAATGTTGCGATTCAATTGATAGAATAATATAGCATAAGTAAGAATCATAATATTAATTAAAAATTTGCTTCGACATGACACAATGTATCTTTTTTAATTGTATAATTTGTCCATCATTCCTTCTGATGAAAGAAATGCAACTGCTTTGATTTTCTAATAAAAATATTTTCTCTTTGCGTTAGAATTATGATCACATGAATGTTTCATTTTTGTTTTCCATGAATTGATTAATAGTGACTCTCGTTAACTCACATTGTGAGTATAGAATCACTTACAGATTATCGCTCCACAGAACAGCATATTCAACTAATATTTTATAAAAAATAGATCCAACATTTTTTTTTGAAACAAAAGATCAACTTATAATTAGTAGCTATTTTATATTGATGCATCAAAAGTTTATTGAAAAATGAGATTAGGTTTTAATTTGTTATGAAAAATTATAATGTAGAGGGAATTCAGTTTTATTTTAATCCTCTTGATCATCGACAGGTTGTGGTACAAGTTCAAGTGGATGTTCATGTCCTTTATTTTTGCAAGCTAAACATAAATCATAATAATCACATGTTAAGCAACGATATCTTTGACCAATAAGTGGATCCATGTTGCAACTGTTGCATGAGGCATCAGACCATAAAAACTCATCTGTGGAAGGAGGAACCAATTTTTTTCCTTGTGCCCATGATTTCATAGCTTCAACGCCTTTGCGTAAAACATCATCATTACCACGACGTGATAAAACTTTACCGTCAGATGATATAACAAACAATGATGGAATAGCTTTTAGAGAAAAAAATAATAGTCATTTTGTAAAATCAATATATCGATGAGAAACGCTCACCAACGCATTGAAAATATGCTTCAAGAGCAGTGCCTGCTTTTAATGGAACAGCAGGCCAAGGCATTTCTGAACGATATTCATTGAATGATTCTTCATCTCGATCCCATGACACAAAAACTATACGAAAAGATTGAGAACTTGACTGTGCTTCTTTATAAACTTCTGCTAATTTTGGTGTAAAAGCACGACAAGGTGAACACCAATGAGCAGAAAAATAAAATCCAATACTTTTAATACCGTCTTTCCGCATTGTTTTTATTTCAATTTTTTCTTCATTATTTGAATTGAGTAAATGGGGAACTGATTTAAAGAGTTCTTCTAATGAATATTGTTTTTTAGGTATAAGATATTCAATGAGAGGATGTTCATGCTTGTTGTTTAATAAACAAATTTCACATAAATTAAATTGACATTCTTCATGCGTACATCCATGACGTGTACCGATGAATGGATTCATAAAGCATTGATTACAAGTAATACGTTTCCATGTAAATTCACCTTCACGTGGTTCACGAGACCAAAATAAACGTTTTCCTTGTGTCCATCGACGTAAAGCTTCGTCAGGTGAAACACGTACTTCGTCAATACCATCCGAAGTAATTGTTTCACATGTAGGAGAAAGAACAATCAAACATGCAATATCTCCGATATTAAATTTCTTTGCCAATGCTTTTGAACGATCTCGATCTAAACACATACAATCTCATTGAATCATCCTATTGATATACTCAATTTATCACAGAGTCAATTATACTTAACAATGACTATTTATTTACGCAACAATTTAATAATGAATCGAATGAATTTTCGTTTAAGAATGAATTATCAAAACTCACAAAGAATTTTTTTATAACAAAATTCTTGTAAAATTGTAGAGAAAAATGTGAAAATTAATTTGAAAATTGAAGATATTGAACATACCAGAGAAAGGTAATGCTTTCCATGGCATTTCTTTGAAATATTCATCAAAACTAGCTTGATCTGGATCATAAGAAATAAAGACAACATCTAATTTGTCTTTTATTTCATTATCAACCTTTTTGAAGATTTCAGCAAATATTGGTGTAAAATCTCGATTTGGTCCACACCAATGAACTCTAGAGAAAAATTAATATTTATTGATATAGCTTAATTAATTAAGAAATGAACTAACGAGAAATAAAGTGCAATAGTTTTGCCATTCAATTGATTAGTGGGTATTTGACTTGTTTCATCACCAGATTCATTATGTTGAAGCAATTGTTCACCTAATAGTTCATTTAAAGTTGTTGCCATGGTGGTTATATAGACGTGCGGAAAAAATATATAATAATGTCTCTTTTTATAGGATATGTAAAAAAAAGGAATGACACAAACTATTGTATGCTTGCGAGGTATAGACATATGAATCAGAATGATTCTTTTCTGTTTTCTCTTTTATGATCTCTACAAGATGATTCATTTGTTTTCTTGCTTCCTCTGCTGCTAATGATTCGCTGAATGTTGCTTCGGTTGCGATAACCTACATACACTTTTATATTCATCGACAACATAGTCATTGCACAAAATGCACTCAGCCTCTTTCATGGAGAATACATGAAGACAAGGCGCTCGATGACAGGGAATTATGAAAATTTCTACATATTCTAGTCTGAATAATATCCAATATAAAACATATATTCACAGTGTAATGTGACATGAATTAAATCACATGAATGATTTCAACATCTGTTAAATAAAAGGAAACATACAGGCTTAATGTTCATCGTTGTGCCTTAGAACATTTCATCAGAGGTTCTTCAATCGAAGAGGTGGCAAAACGAATTTTTACATTTATAATAGATCCTCATTTTCAGGAATCTCTTCTTCTTGCTCTTGGTTGGATCACTTGGAAATGACTATCTGAATATTATGAAACATTTTGCAAGCTTCTTGTTAAACCAACGAAAGATTATTTTATTCCATATAAAATACTTCTTTTCTTTTCGATGATCTATATAATCTACAAAGATTATTTTCAAACCACAGCATCTTTCTCGCGCTCGATAATTTGTTAGATCATTCATCTGATGCAGTTAGAAGCATATATTTGATATTAAATTTATCTAAGTTATCTGAGGATATTATAATACAATGGATGCAGTTTCTTTCGAAAGACAACAAGCGTCTTGTCAAGTTTTGTCAGTTTTTTCCAATGCAAAATAAAATGAAGTTTGATATACGTCGAATTTCTCAAAAGCTAATATCACATATTACCTATCAACAACTGTGGTCGTTTCATCACACAAATTCATCAGTCGAGTTCGATATAGATCAAACTTTGAGAAGAACAATGACATTAGTTGATATACAGAATCAGACCTTTAATGAAAATTTTTCTTTACTTTTTTTGGCTCATAACTTTTGTTAATCAAATATTCATTCATTGATTGCTTCTGACATTATTGCAGTATGAAATGGAACATTTCTTGATGCTAACAACCGATTCATAAAAATTCACTTCTTGTTGAAACAAATGCATCGTGAATTCTCAGTTTTGGCTTCCATTATGCAGTAGTTTGACAATAAGAAGGAATCTTATTTAATCAGGGTCCATACACTCACCAAACAATATGAGAGCGATCTTCAAAAGTATTTGCCGCAATATACTTCGATCACCATTGTTTTATGAAAAGTACAAAGGATATCAGCCATTACCATTAGCACTCGATAAACTCAAATGGGCATGGTTCTATTTAAAAAAATCATGCATTTCCTCGAAATTCTATCTTCACCTTTTATTATTCGATATATCTCTTCATAGATCTGAAATTGAATCAATTAAAACTATTCTTTATCCAGACTAATCGATTCGATGAAGAATGCGCCTCATTTTCAGTTTCATGTACAGCTGCATGGAAGAAACTTGGACTGTGGGATCTGACTAACGAACTCAACGATGACTTTCCTCATAATTACATCATCAATCAGACTTCATTCATACGGCAAGCGAGAAAAAGTTATATGAAGTAGCTAGCAATATGACAATGTTACAACAAGAACCATCCTTCCTATTGAACTTTCTACCAAAATGTCTACAACAACTGATGATACCGAGTCTTTGTCATTAGTTGTGCTCTTATCACTGTGCTTAACCTATTAGGAGAACGTTTATAGAAATGATTTCAACTTCTATCTTATCTTGGAAATTCTTTATCCATTATCGAAAGAGCACATGCTAGGAAATTATGCTTTACTGGTCTTCCAAAAAATGATGTTCATCATGTATTCTTAGATGAGGATTGTCAGCAGTTCAAGAAAATGATGAAAGATCATAACTTACTTGACGAACTTGTTAGCGATCAGTGGACAGATTGGGAAACACTTACAAGTGCCGAGCGTCAACATATCCATGAAGCACAAAACATGTGCACACGGTCAAGAGAAAGATTTAAGATTATTTGCCACATCAATTTCTCTTAGTCGAGTTTTGCAAGCCCGCGATCGTTTTTGTATTTATCACATAATAAAACCCATCAGTCTACCTCGTGACGAAACTAGAGAAGTACGCGATGCGATGATGAATATACTCGATCGAATTTTACGAATAATAGCTTTTAACATGGTGTTAGACATGAAAGATCCATTGGTGTTTGATGAATAAGAAAGAGATCAATTGATATTTGGGGAACCGCAACGATGAGTACGAGGCACGATGAGCACGAAATGTTAAGCACGGAACGTTGATCACGGAAACGATAAGCACGGGAATTATCAGCACAGGAACGATGAGCACACGAAGAGTTCAGCACCGAAAAGTTAAGCAAACAAAAAATGAAGGTAAATATGGAGTTTATTACAGAATTAGTAAATAACTATTACATATAACAAAATACAACTAATGAGGGTGATGATAACGGCAAGATTAGGGTGAATGTGAGGGCGAGATGAGGATGATGGTAAAGAGAAAAGATTTGGACCCACCGTCGCCCGTAGAGAAAAAATGTTTTGTGGTGTGTTTTCGATCGTAACTAATTGTTATGTTTCTTGTGATTAAGATCAATAATGATAAATAGAGTAAACTAATTATGCCGTTCTTATTCAAACTCTAATCTCTGATCTTATCAATAGTTATATTGATTGATTTTTTAATAAATGCCATATTTACCTTCATTTTTTGTATGCTTAGCTTTTCGGTGCTGAACTCTCCGTGTGCTCATCGTTCCTGTGCTGATAATTCCCGTGCTTGTCGTTTCCGTGCTTAACATTCCGTGCTCATCGTTCACCAACCCTGATATTTGATGAATAAGAAAAAGATCAATTGTAGTCTTCATTACCAGATCTACCATTACTAACAGCAACCTTTTTGTTTGTTCAGTGTCATACAGCACGTCAAGTTGTTTCAGAACCGTTTGAACTTATGGTTGATGTAATTATTAATAATATGAATGAAAATTCAATGGATAAGCAGATTCAAAGCCAAAAGACAGCATACGTTGCATTGAGACAACTCAATAATCCGGATCTTTCACATTGTTTATCAGAGTTTGCCAAATCAGCAGAGAATTTACCGGATCCCGTTCAATTCAACTCAACTATATTTTATTAACACAAAATCATTTGATTCATTGAATACCATTCTTCTATCTTTGATATATTTAGCTGAATTGACTTCTGATACTCAAATTCTCAAGATGTATAGGCAAGATCACAGACAAGATGTTTCATCATTGGAAACTTTGAAATAATTATGGGATGATTTGTCGAAATTTAAAAATATAATGGCGTTCAAAGTTGCAACATAGTTTACAAATAACTTGCAAATGTTAAGTAAACAAGAGCGTTATCAAGGTACTAAAGATGTGTCTGAATGTGAAATGATCGAAAAGAAAGTTCTATCAGTGATACAAAAATGGCTCGATTATCAAGATGCTGAAGACTTACAATCTGTTGTACTTTATGCTGTTTTACAACTGACTATCGAAGATTCGAATATTCGTGATTCGATCGATATCATTAAGAAGATGTTTGTTATCGATAATGAATTTGGTTTGAAATCTATTATAGGACACTTACTCAGCACTCAACTTTTCGATTCAAATATTGTCCATGAAATTGCAGTTTTGTTACGTGAAAATGTTCGTTTTTCTTCGAAGATCTATATTTGTATTAGTTGCAAAGAAATGCTACAATTATCTCTGACTTTGGAAATGGAATTAGTTGTCTCAAATATGCGCCAATTATCTAATGCTTCCACTGGTCGATATTGATTGATGATTAACGATTAACCAATCGGTTTAATTTTCGCACAACAATCACCGGAAACGTGCAATACAATATTGAACTGGATCAGATATGACACTGCAATACACATACAAGATATTGTTACAGCAAACATTATATCATGTGAACAGAGAGTTATCTAACACATTTACCAATCAAATTATTCATCAGTTAGAAACACATTGTGCTGAACTCCTTAGCACATTTGTTACTGATCTATATAATTACTTGGGTGACAAAGACAACAGGAACGATCTTTCTAATCCGAAATCTTACTTCGTGAAAATAACAGTAAAGATTAGCCAAAAAAAACCGAGAAGCATTTTATGATGCAGTTGAAAAGGCTCTTTTGGCGAAGAAGAATTTAAAAGAGAACTTTATTTCTATTACAAAAATAATCCAAGAGACACTGAAGTATTAATATATCTTTATGCCGATTTTGGTGTGATAATAGATCAGCTTCTTGAAATGCTGATTTGTTTGAAAGATAATGATATTCGTGACTCGAGTTACCTTAAAGGATACCTCAAATAAGTGTCTGATAGAAGTGTTATTGAAAAGTTGTTCGAGCTATCAGATTTGAAAAAAATGAAAAAAAAAATTGAATTGTTTTTATGTGTATTGAAATCCCTCGTTAATATTCGTGTTGTATCTTTGTTGAAAGTCCGCCACTAGTTCTCGCGAAACAATAATATGTCCTATGATGATGATAATGAATGGTGGAATATTGAGAGAAAAATTTGTCATTTGTTATTGAATACTAGCTGCTTTAACAAAATATATTTAGAGAATGATAAAACAATTTTTTTAGCAAGTGTGATATTGATGAAGAATTTAATAGATAAGTTCAGAACTTTGAAAAAAGTGACAGATTTGTTCAGAAGACATAACTTACCTAACGATTCCGAATCAGTTTCGAATAATTTAACACTATAAAGATTATTCTATTGTTCTATCAGATTCTTGCAACAGTTCATCTTTTTTCGATAATGAATGCTATAAGTAGAGCTCATCTAATGATTCGCTCACCAATATCTGAAAGATGCTAATGCGATCTTAAAAAGAGCGTGGGTGTTAATCAAGAGATAATTAAAAGTCAAACTCACACTCGCCGCTCAGTCGATTTAATGTAAAATTATTTTTCTTTTCCATTCTATTTTATTTTCATATTTATTTATTAAACACATTTTCTTCAGCTTAAAAGATAACCTGAAATACTGATATTATCTACTCAACAAAAACACGTTTTCAATATATGTTTCAATTTTTAAATTAAAAGAGTCTTCTTTTTGCTTTTTGTTTTTTTTCGGTAACTTTTCATCGAGTCTAATGGAAATTCTCAAAAGGTTTTAGTAATTCATAATAAAAATATGAATAAAATGAAAAGCTCAGCTATATCGTTTGCTTTAGCAACGGCCACGTAATTACAAGTAACTGCGAATCCAGTTTGATGGTAATCGAACATATGGCTTGTCGTATTTGTTCTGTAGCAGCAATCGATAAGAAATATTGAAAATTCATGAGTCAAAAAAACCTAACGATCAAAAGTATTTTTTTGTCTCTTTATTTTAGTCCTAGCATTCAATCTAACATTATATGTAAATAATGCTATCATCAGTGAGAATCGTCTTCAAACAAACTATAACTACGTATATAACAAAGTGACGAAATATATCATGAAGATAATTGATTAGAACGATACCTCATAAACACTTTCACTATAATGAAACTATCGTCATCAAAATGAGTGCACATCTTATTAATAATTCTTACGTAATTTTAAGGAGATTGTCTTTAATAATGCTGTCGTCTATACTCAATTATATGGATAGAAATAATTTTTCTAGATACCTTTCTCTGTGCCAACAACCTTTGTTTCATTTGACTATTTAAATAGTAAGATTTCTGTAGATTAAAAATTAAATACTTTAAAAACACAATTTTTTTCATTTCAAATAGGTAATCAATTTGAAAAAAGGAAAATTTATATGAGCCCGCCGTTTCTCTGTCACTAAGAGGTGTATTGATAAGATTTTCTTCAAAACAGGAAAGAAATAAGATTTGAAATTATCATACAATCGAAGGGTGTGGGGGTGTGGGTGGGTGTGAATGTGCGTCTGTGAATGTGGTTGAAGACAAGATGAACACACACACCCACAACCACATCCACAACCCCACAATCACAGCCACAGCACACCCTCCCACATCCACACTCCCACACCGACACCAACACTCATACCCACACCCACACCCCACACTCACCTACACCGACACCCACATCCGCACCCACACCCACCTACACCCACACCCACCCCCACACCCAGCCACATCCACACCCACACCTACCCACCCACACCCATACCCACACCCACACCCCACATCACATCCACACCCACACCCACACCCCACACCCACATCCACACCCACCCACACCCGCACCCGCAACTCTCGCGCAGCAACATCTCTCACAACAAAAAACTATCTTTTGATATCTCACAGTCAACGCAAATAAGAGCTTGACTTGCTTGAATTTTTGTTTTCTTTAATTTTTACACCGCAATTGATGTTTCTCCCCACGAGGAATGTTTGGGCGCATTCTTCCAACTTGAAACAAATCTCACATGTGTGCATTTCTATCACGAAAAATATTGCCTGACGTTATCTCGCATTCGTCGGAAATAAGAGTGACTAATTTGAAATTCATATTTTTTCATTTCTCACTATAATGGAGGTTTTTTTTCGTCGCAATTATTTGTAGATATTCTTCAAAACGACGCAATTTTTTTCTGCAAGTAATGTGGATTTGTCAGGTATATATAACAGCTGGGAATTTGGTTGGGTCTTCATTACAACAGAATGCTGAGCATGATTTTGTATTTAGTGCTTTTCCATCGATTGGGCACATGTTTCTCGTGTGAGTCCTTCAGAAAATTCAGCTTATACCACAGGTTATGATAATATATCAACCAATTATTGTGATTCAATCTTAATCGAATTTCGGAGCTTACTGTGAGATTGAGTTTTAGCTGATTTTGGAACGGTTTTTACCGGGTTGCAAATGCCGGTAAGGATGTGGTGCTATTGATAAGCATTGATTCAGACAGAACTTCTGATGTTGAAGCCGCATCTGAGTGGTTTCGTACTGAATTATTCGTCAGATAGGAGTGGACTTGCTTTTTATGATTTCACAAGTACGTTTCGATGCCGTCTGTATTATTATTCTCTTTGTGAAGGAACTTACGTGTAACTGTTATATCTCTTTCCTATTTTAGATTTCTTGTCAGTATTAGCAAATAAATCGCCGTTATCAAGTTCGTGTTACGTATTCATTTCTATTAAAAAATTACATATCAAGCGACAAAAGCAAAAATAATACAAGCATTTGCAAGTTTTCTTCACTTTCATTGTCAAGTGAGTTCTCCTTTCATCTTAATATACATCTAACTATTTTGTAAGAAATTATTGTGAAGTTCTTAGAATAGTATTCTAAAACTAGGTAAAGAGACAATTTATTTTGCTGCTACAACCACAGAACAATGCAACCTCACCGTCACCTCATCTTGGTTTGGTTGTTGTGCTTCTTAATCGCTGAGATTCACTCGGTTTCACTGAAAAACAATCTGGCACCCGATTATTCTCCCGAAAAAAGTCTGGAGAACAAAGACAATTTTCATGCCGGTATTTCACAAAGCCGTTCGGTAAACGGAGTATGCTGCAGCTCTCAACAGATTCCTTTTGGCTGCGTCAATGGGCAAGTAGTTGGGTGCTCATGCAGATGCAAGGATTCATTCGTTGTCAGTGGTTTCAACTGTTGTATCTAAAGAATTTGTGGCGCTGTCACATATAATTTTTCTTATATTCAATAAATATTCAAACTAGAGTTTGTCCACTAACAACGCATACTCTAAAAACAACAGATTGAAATCAATAATATTTTCAATGGATTACTTCCATGCTTTTCAAAATGAATGACTTTCATCAGTTTTAACAATAACCAATTAGAACTAATCAGATTTTGAATAAATAATTTCGATTTCAGATATAGTTATAGGTGTTTGAGTAGATGTTGCAATTCTTTTATATAGTATGTACACCGAAAACCTGGTTAAACCGTTACTTTGTGTTGATATTTATCTGCATATGTTCGCTCTTCTATTTCATGTCTGCTAAAAAAGAACTAGCTGTGTATTAAATGCGTCGAAATGCCAATACAAACCTCCAAGTTTTTGGTTTACATCTTTTTTTTTAATTATTTCTTTTTTGTCAATAGTCTAGGGTGCGAAGATATATGAATGTAGGGTGTGGGTGTGTGCTGGTGCCGCTGGGTGTGGGCATAAATGTGAGGGTGGGTATGGGCGGATGTAAATGTCTTATTCAATTACATCCAGACTAAGATCCACTCACTTAACGGGTGGGTGTGTGTGTGCATGTGGGTGTGGGTGAGGCTGTAGGTGTGCGTGTGTGGGTGGATTGGTGTGGATGTGAGGTGTGGGTGGATGGGTGTGGGTGTGAATCCAATGGAATCGGAAATACCCACAACAACACCCATACCTACCCCACACCCACACCGATACCCACACCCACACCAATACCCACACCCACACCGATACCCACACCCACCGACACCCATACCCACCCACACCAACCCACACCCACCCACACCCACACCCACACCCACCTACACCCACACCCACACCCACCTACACCCACACTCACCCCACACCCACACCCACACCGATACCCACAACCCACACCCACACCCACACCCACCGACACCCATACCCACACCAACCCACACCCACGCCAACCCACACCCACACCCACCCACACCCACACACACCGACACCCATGCCCACCCACACCAACCCACACCCACACCCTATTCAAATAAAGAACATTTATTCTAATTTATCATGTTGGAATTAAAAACCTTTCTCAGATTGCATCATCCTGACACAGCTCTTAGCCCTTGTCAATAACCAATAGG